TTCCCATCTTAAAAAGAGCGTTAGGTCAGTTTGTAGGAATCCACAAACGACAGCGACAGAGCATAATTTTAAAATGGAGAGAAAAGTAAAGGACAGCGGGTCACAGGAGCACACGCTGTGAGGTCACACCCCTCTCAGAGAAGTCAAGGGTGGCAAGCGAGGCCTGGCCCTTATTTGCCCTGCTCTAAGAGCCGGAGAACACGTGCAGGAGAGGAGGCGACAGCGTGGGACGCGCACGCGTCCAGCAACGCCTGCAGAACGACCTCAGCGCCACTGCGCATCGAATGTCGGGTGTCAGTATGAACATGGCTTTGACCGTGTTCGAAATTTTTCAGATGCTTTGCAGATGCACGATGGTGCTAAAGGGGCCTCCGAACCATTAATTTCTTCGTTTATTCATTCGACAGTTATGTATTGGAATAGACCACGATCCAGGCCCTCCTGTGCAGGAAACAGCTTCTTTCAAGGTTCCCATGTAAAACCTGAGAATTGTTTCTGGCGGAACGATAGATGTTTATTTCGCCCCCTATGTGCCTTTCATGGAAATAACCTCTGATGTAAGAACAACACCAGGATTTTCAACTTAAATCCTAGCGCGGTTGCCTTGGTGTCCTGATATTTTACGATTTAAAAAAATTTAACCTCCAACCTTTCCTTATCAGAATAAAAATTGATGAAGAGCCCGGCCATGAGAGTCAGATTGTCCTGGCCATGCTCTCACATTTAGCCAGCTTCGTGGCTGTGTGAGGTCAAAAACCAGTAGCACCTGACTCACGAGGAGATAAGGCATCTAAAAGCACTAAAAGACAAAAGCCACGTGGGGCAGTTCAAGCACAGATCGCGCTAGTGCTGGACTCTCAATCCTAGCATGGTGTTGTCTTCCTTTAAGTATAATTAAACTGAGTCTGCAATGTTTAAACTTCCTCTGATTTTCATTGCGTTGAGAAAGAGAGTTTTTTGGAATCATTGGCCAGACCCACTCTTTTGGGGGCTCAAAGCAGAAAGTGGGTTGAAAGAATGATGCATCCATGACCATTCCATCCCTTTGGTTGACCAGAAATGTCACCCAAAGGACACCGACTGATTCTGCCACACTTGTGGGCTAACGTTCTTCTCATTCACTGGCCAGTTTTATCCATTATCACCACTGGCTTTTGGCCAAGGACTAATGGACTGCACTGAGTCACCTGCTTTGGAGAAGCACAGACCATGGTCTTTACCAGGGGGAGCTGGACCGCTCTAGACCGACCATGCTTTGTCCACGTCCCTTGAAATGCCCTGAGCATCGGTGAAGGTTTCCTTTTAGGGGAGGCTGAGTCTTGTCTTATGCCCACCTCGTCTCCCTGGAGGGAAGCCCAAGCAATTCTCGCACCAAGTTTCCAGGTAGAAAATGTAGACCGGCGAAAGGTAGGTGACAGGGAAGAAGGAAGGGCCCCGTGGTGGGGCCACTCTACTCACCGTCTGGGGAGAACTGGTCCCTCTCAAACACGGTGATGCAGAGAACCTCTTGCTCCAGGTCCTTGATGAAGAACTGGCAGTTGGAATTCCACTTGGGGTTCAGCGTGTCCTGGATCGTCTTGGTGATGTGACACTGGGAGCCCATGGTCACCTCGCAGTACGGGTTACTCTTTCCTAGAGCGGACAGAGTCTGCTCGACCCCCGCCTGGCCACAGGCTCTTCGGGGCGTGGCGTGGCGGGGTCACAGCCACAGTGGGCCACTCTTCCCTCTATGCCCATTTTTACCCCCCTCCATTGCCATGCTTAATAAGTGGCATGAAATGGAGAAACCAGACCAAAACGGCCACGATTCAGCATCACACGTAAACTAAGAACAAATGATTACATGAGCGGGCTTCAACCCTCGGCCCTTCCTGTCTCCCTGCTTTTAGCCTTATTAGATTGTGTCACATCTACTGAGACATGGCGGCCACTCAATCTCTCTGAAAAGCAAAACGGCGGAAAGGATTTTTTAAAAAAAACCTCTAGGTTTTTAACAAGGGCTAGAAAAACCAGTTCTGAAGGAAACTTAAGATTATGAAAACAGCACGTTTGATCTAAAGCTGGGCGGGAGGATGCAGAAAAGGCTTCCACCGCAAACACGTGCTAGAGGGGCCTTCTCGGGTCCTTACCGTGTGACCGGCAAGGTTTCAGCTCAATGCCTTCAACGACGTTGACCATCAACCTTCCAATCCCTGTCGCTCTTTGGGAACGGACTGTGACAGCGGGGAAAACAACCCAAGTTTGATTTCAGCATGTGACACCTTTCCGTCCCCGTGTGCCCGCTCCATTCCATGTCCCTGAGCCCGATCAAGAACACTTCTCCACTCCCCTTCTTAAGCTCTTGCTTCCTTGCTCCTGGACTTTGCCCTCCACCCCTCATCCTGCACCCCGCTCCCCCCTCTTTCCCCTTCTTCCATCCCATCTCAGGCCCCTCTACCTCCAGGCCCATCTTCCAGCTCTAAGGGCTAAGGGAGTAAGGGCTTAGGGCTTTCTGCCCCGGCTCTGCAGGGAGCTCAGCCCACGCTGCCGAGCAACGCATTACCCAGGTGAGCAACGCATTACCCAGGTGAGCAACGCATTACCCAGGTAGGCCTTCTCCCGCTTCTTTTTCTCCGTCTCTATGTAGAGTTCAGACGCAGCTTTGATTTTCTGCACCCAGGCAGTCCTTGGAAAAGAAAAGGCAGAAAGGTGCCAAACAGAACTCAGGGAGAAGGCATCTGCTCTGTTCCCATGCCGTTTCCAGGATTCTGCTTTGTTCATTTGATTTTGAACAACAGAAGCTCGGGAAAGAAAGTCTGGTTTTATGTCACGTGGTGTTAATAATTATTCCTGCCGTGAATCAGAAAGGCATGAGTCACGTTTTTCTCGATGTGCTCAAGACCTGCACTGGTGTCTCGAGGGAAGAAAATCTATGATAAATGCTGTCCTGGAGGACGTGGGGGTGACAATCCCTCCCCCTCCCCTGTGGAAAAGCGTCACATGTTTGCCTCACCCAGCAAGGCCAGAAGGACCTCCCTCACTAAACCGTCGAAGGGAAGAACGCGAACCATTTCCCGGATGGAGAAACCCTCTCCACGAAGGAGCAAACGCGCCCTGGGGCAGCGTTCTGGCGTGGTGTCTGCTCCTTCGTTTTTCGGAGAACCATGTGTACACAAGAACTTTGGCCAGTTTTCTTGCTTGGCACGAACGCTCTTTGGAATGTTGGCCTTGGGTCAAGTTCACCCTTCAGAAAATGATGTATTTCATTTGGCTCCAGGACAGAGTCTTGAAGACTCTGTTGAAGCAAAACAGCCAGAGCCCCAGCATCCAGACTGTCTGTCCGTCCAAGTGAACCAGCTGGGTGGGGGAGGGGCAGGGAGGGCGGGCTTGGCCGGGCCTATTGTCCCCAAGTCGCTATCCTTTTGTCTTCTGCTGCCTGGGAAACCTGAGATGCTCCATTTATCTCCTTTAAAAAAAAATGCTAAAAATTTCTACCAAAAAGGAATTCTCAAGCAACATTCGTTTCATTTCATTTGGAAAAATTCGTGCCACGTGCCAAACTTTTGAGAGGCTCTAGAAGAAAGTATTAAGACCTTTCCCACCCCCTCCAGCCAGAGATTATGGCATTGCACCTGGGGGGAATGTTGGGACCTGCTAACTACGTAAACTTCCCACGTGGTCCCGTACCTGGCGGGCCCCGGCGCCCAGGGCAGGCAGGTGGCAGTCTTACCTTTCGTTTATGCTTTCTGCTCGGAGGGTGTAGACTCGGTCAATGTGGGAGATGTGGAAGATGGGCTCGTCTCCAGAAGGGTCCGTGGGTAATTTTACTAGAACCTCATTTAGGAAAATAGGCTAAAAAATAATGCGCAGGCATTAGAAAATCAGACTGGGTATCTGAGTGTCCCAGTAAACCATGAGTGTGTGTGCGTGTGTGTGTGTGTGTGCGTGCACGCGCCAGTAAACTACCAGAATAAGGATTTTGTGTTTCTATCAACTCTCATATACTGCAAATTAGAAATATGGGTTCCACCTGTCCTCACACCCCCATTTTGCAGGTATTTTTTTAAGTCCCTCAAAATAAGAACTGGTCTGCTTCTCCCACAGCAAATCCTAATCCACAAACAGCTTCCATCAGCTTTACCTCCAAGCAATTCCTCCAAAGATTTTCATATAAAGTTGCTATTGACAAGCTACGTATGTACATTGTTCTTTTTCCCAAAATAAAGCTGACGGCTGCTTCAGAGAAAACTCATTTGTAAGAACACCCCCACAGACACGAACTTAGAGAAACAACACCCCATGACGTGAAGACACACAAACACAGACATGCATGTTGGAGCAGACCCAATAAATAGCTTAGGAGAATCCTCCACACGTGGACTATTTACACTGGCTATAGCCGTAAAAGGCGAGTCGCAGATGTTTCAAGCTGCCTTGAGAAGTTTGGAGGGGAATCTGGGAATGTTTGGAAGGTGGGCTTTTCCTTCCGACTTTTCCCACGCCCACCCCATCCATACACTTGACCTTGAGCCTCACCAGGGCTCAAAGAGTGTCTTCGTCTTATCTGGGGGACCCATAGCGGCCGTTTGGCAACCAACAGATGTTTTATCAATCGAATGGAGTATTGTTTCTTTTCTGATGATACAGGCATACCTCAGAGATGTTACAGGTTAAGTTCTAGACCACTCCAATAAAGCACGTAACGAAAAAAAGCAAGTCATAATCTTTTTGCTGGTGGAGGGTCCTGCCTTCAATTTGTATAAAACACATCTATGAAGTGCCATAAAGTGAAGCACAATAAAATGAGATATGCTCCTACTGCAACTGCACCCTAAATCCTGGCTCACCCCCTTTATCCCCTCCTCCACGCATAGCCACAAAACCCTGCGAGCAGTCTGACTCCTTCTGGAAAACCCTGCGGGTAGTCTGACTCCTTCTGGAAATGCTCTCCTCGCCCCCACGCATCAACCCTGATTTGCAGTCTAGAGTCAACTTACTGTTTTGTACATTTTATACTGCAGGTTAGATTTGGGGCTGAAGACTTTGTCGGTGCCGGAAGAGCCCAGGGGCTTTATAATTTGGGTCAGCAGGAGGAAGTCGTTGAAGAGGAAGCCGTACAGCTCCTTGTTGCTCTTGGCCTTGTAGAGTTTCCCACTGTGCAGAAACTTGCGTGGCCCCAAACAATTGGTCACTGAATTGAACACAAGTTGCTGAGAAAAAGAACAAACAAAGAAGACACGATGACGTCAGGTCATGCTCTGATTTTGATCTGTCTGCGTCTGGAAGCCTGGGCTCCTTCAGAACCTGGGGCCAGGCCCTAGGAGGCCTGGAGCTGAGGCTCAAGTCAAGGACTGCCTTGAAGACTTCAGACAGTGCCTTTGGAGCTCAGAAGTCGGTCAAAGGCATGGTTCTGAGGTTCTGGGTATCAAGATGAGTCTCGGTTATGATTCCTAAGGCTTTTCCCCTAGGTGTTTGTTAGTGTTTTGGGGTGACTGGTATTCTTCTCCCTTTTATTTACAGGGGAAATTGGGTGACAGGAAGAAAATACTCAGCTCTCAACTACCACCACGAGCATGCGCTGTGTGCAGGGTGGCCCGCCAGGGTGTGAACCGGCTCCAATGACGGCCCCGCACAGGTTCACACCGTCTTTCGAACTTCTGGAAAGCCGAATTCCACAGGGCAAATGCTGCTCCCCAAAGCACAGCTGGGGTCCAGGCGCCTAGTATGTGGGTGCCTGCAAGACTCACTGGTGCTGAGCGATGCCTCAAAACAGAATAGACACCGTGTTTGTGCACGTTAGACCTCACCCAACTCACTGGTCCTGAAGACATGAGGAGGAAAGCCCTCCCCGGCCACTGCCCCAACCGGGGAGACAGCCCCGGGTGCTAAAATGCGGCTCCGTCATCCCACTGGGCTCTGTCATCTCACATTTCATCATCCCCCTTGGATTTATCATCTTGTGCTCTATCACCCCACCCCCACCCCGGCTCTATCATCTCACACTCTATCGTCCTCCTTGGCTCTACCATCTCATGTGAGCATTTTCTGAAGGGGCAGAGGGAGACTGAGGCAGACACAACCTCATGAAGACCCTCCTTTTTTTTTTTTGACAGCAGGAAGATACAGAGGGCAAGTCCACAGCTATGACCAGGATATGATCACAGATATGATCAAAGCAGGTGTCACGGTCCCCCACTTGCCCACATTCAGACCCCTGGGAGATGATCTGTCCAGCAGCTTTCAAGGCCAAGGATCTCTCCAGAGATGCAAACTCTACAGACCTCCCTGGGGACAGTATTTGTGAGGAGGTGATGGGGTTCACGACATGCATCTCCCAAGAGGTGCTGGAGGCCACCTGTCTGGGAGAATCAGCAGTGCCTCTGTGACCACAGAACTACAGGCATCAAGGAAGAGTGGTCACTCTGCTTCGATGTCTGATATAAGAAGAAAGGTCTCTAACCTCCCACTGAGGCTCCGAGGAGCCCAAAGGACTAAGGGTAACACCCCAGCTGAAACCTTCATCTCTCTGCATGCGGAACAGGATCCTGGAGACCAAGCTGGCCCGTTCTGCTTGCCAAGGGAGAGTTCAAGTCACCTGAGGACAATGAATCAGGAAAAGGCAACTTGGATCACTTAGAAGCGATGTCGTTTATTCATACCCAAAGGTTAGGGCCTCTAATTGGCCAGGCTAACACTGAATTCACATGGATTGGGAACAGACAAGATCGCCAAAGACAGCATTTAGAAATGCAGTCACTGGTGTGGGCCCAGATCTGGCCCGGAAAACAGAAGCCAGGGTGGCCACCCCTTCCCGTGGCTGTGAACAAGGTACGGGCAAAACTAAAGGGACGAAAGACTGACCGATAAAGGACAATAGTCTATTTCGAAGAGAGTATATAAGCCACAAAAGGCAAATGACAGAGTTAGTCTCATTCTTAATATATTAAGATGAAAAGCCAGGCCTCGCCGAGTCCCCTTGTCTGCAGCCGTGACACTCAGGGAGGGACCCTTTCCTAAGTGCACGTTGCTATGGC